CAAAATTTTTAAAACTTTCCGGAATATTAAGAAAAAACTAAAGCCCCATTTTTTTTCACTTAATTGTTTATAACTGTTGTAATTTTTATCGGCGCGTTTTCGGACCTTTCCTTGAACTTTCTAGGCAAAAATACGATTCGAATGACACCTTGGTCTTGGCCTTGGTTTTTGGACAGGGCTGAAAAATGTTACAAAAAAAAGTACATGTGAACTAGATATTATCAAGCTTATTCGAACAATCACAAGTATGGCTTCTACATACTTACTAGTATAAGCTACTAGCATCACAATTTCCCGAATGAAAATACTTTATTGAATCATTTATTATAACCCTGAAGAATATATTAAATAGAATATTCACTCATTTTTATTCTCTGAGAAATAATTTTCAGGAACTTATATCGACTCGGCTACTTACTCTGGAAGACTAATGATTTTTATGTTGTTCACTGCGTTCATGTTTCTTTATGTGGCCTACTCAGCATATATTCTAGTACTACTTCAATCGACAAAGCCCATATCTTCGATTAGAAGACTGGTTGACAGCAGAATTGAATGTGGGGGGTTAAACATAAGCTTCATGATGCCATATTACCATGTAAGTAATTAATCGTCTTGAACCAGCACTATAATTACCAAAATTTATTTTTGTTTGTGCATACCCTAACGGGCATAAGCATTCAGCCAATCTTTGGATAGCTAAGTAAGAAAATTAATATATTATACTATCAACTAATCCCTTGGCTTTCATTTTTTCGAAAGTTGGGAATATTCGGACTCCCTCCTCCCCTGGTTTTTCTTTTCGCTACGACCCTGACTATGACCACTCCAATTATATTTACTCACTTCATCCTGACGACTGAGAACCTTCCTCATCAACCAGGTCGAATGACCTTGAAATGTTTCAAAATTACTAAAATGAAACACCATGAGAAAAAGCATGTAATTTGGTCCTAAAACCAGCTATGATCATTTACTATAGAATATGTTATAGACAGTGGAAGTCCTAAACTGGCACATCCTTTCAAATTACTTAGCAGAGTGTTCACCACTGTGAAGGCCCCTAAAGAGTTTGTGTCTGCCTGCAATGAATGTAGATTGGAATACATGGATATATCTCTAAATTTCGTTAGGGATGTCTCCAGAGTGGCTTTTTAAAACTATTATAGTAATAAAAAAAACTTAGTTCTGATTCAATCCCAAGAAACTAAACAAGCTGATAACCCTCTGATGGACGGAGAAACATTTCAATATATATGAGCACGGATAAAATATTATAAATTGGCCAACATCCACTGTTGATGAAATCAAAAACAGTTCCCGCTCAACAGGATTCATTTATTGGATAATAAATTGGTTGGGAGTCATCTTTTTACATAATCACGGTTTGTATTTGATTTTGAGCCTCCGTACAAAACAATGATAGGAAAAAAATGCTAATTGCTACTAGATATATTATCGTTTAAATACATTTTTTACACTCACAATTATTATCACCAACTACTGTCTATTTTTCAGCTATTATTTTTTAACAACTATGCTAAACTAGGAAATACACATCACAAAAAATGTCAAACAAATTATTCATAACCGCATACTACATAATTCTTCAGGATGAAATTTCAGGATTTGTAGATGGAGGTTTTGAAAAAGCAAAATTAAACTTTTACAATTAGTGGTGAATAGACGCGGCAATTTATAAACAATATTCTCCTTCTTAACAAGATATTGTATTCAATAAATAAACCCATTTTCATCAAACTATCAGAACTCTATTTCTTCCCACGGCCTGACTTACATCAAAGTTTGAATTCAAGTGAAAACGTTACCTACAGGCTTACTATCAACTTTAATCTACCAGCATTTAAAAAAATATAAAATATACTTTTAAATTACAATGTCACATATATCACAAAAACTATATAGATGTTGTATGAAGCAACAGTTGTGACGATTCAAAGAACATTTTTGAGAGTGAATAGTGGACAATTTATGGACAATATGGAAAAAACTATAACAAATGCCCCAATGGAACATTTCAGTATATGGTAAAAGATGTTTTTTTTGAGTGAAACTTGTTTGTTATAATAATAATAATTTTATTAGTCTTCAGAAACACAGTTTTTAGACACGTCAATACAATTTCTAAATTAAGTGTGAGAGGATAAGATTCGTCAATACAGGTTCTAAAAAATGCTGATAGATACATTAGATTAACAAAAAAAATTAATTGATAAGATGAATTTACAGTCTAATAAAAATTGACTGTACAATACCTGGTGGTATATTTACCTTTTCACACTGTCAACTTCATTCCTACCCTTATTCATAACCATATAAAATGTTAAAAAATTTGTGGTTTTAGCTAACCAAAGATGAAGCATTGAAAGATTTATACAGTAAAAAAATTCACCCCAATCAGTTTTTCACCCTAGAAGATGGACTTAGAAAAGTCCAGGATGGAAATTTTGCATTTCAAGTTATCCTCGGTCCGGCATACAACTACATCCTGAAAACTTACACGAATTATGATATATGTAAATTGCAAGAACTTTCTGGATTTATGAACGTACGTATCTTTTTTATTGAAAGTTAAATCTGAAATACTACCCCTCCTATTTCAGGCTAAAATGTATGTAGCTGTTCCAAAAAGTTCTCAGTATAAAAAAATCTTCAAAATAGGGTAAGCACGAGCAAATCCTCAATTTTTTCTGCAAAATGATGTTATGATTTCAGACTCTTGCGTGTTGAAGAAAGTGGACTACAAATCAGAACCAAGAATCGCGTCTCTATGAAACCGAAGTGCTACAATGAAGGGGGAAATTTTCAGTCCGTCAGAATTTACGATTGTCATTCAGTATTCCTACTGTATTTACTAGGAATAATCTTATCCTTGGTTATTCTTTCGATAGAAAAGTTGCTGGCAAAGTATAGTGGGAAAAATTGTTGAAGTTGATTACAGTTTTCAATTATGTAATTTATTAATGACAAATTAGAAGAGAGTGCACCTAATTTCACGTGATCATTCATTGAAAATGAATAAAAACTTGTATTAAAACACCCTTTTATGAAGCTAAACAACATACGCACTAAGTTCTTCAATAAAATTCAATGGTACATTTGATTTGTCATTCTTTACCATCTATACCTACCTTGGATTTCATAAACTATCAGCAGATAATTTATTTTGGAGTCAAGTCCTTGGCTAGCCTTGTATTCCTTTAGGATCCATATTCCATTTCTTGTTTACAACTAATATATATGATTTTTATATCTGAAATCTGTGACAAAAAAATATTAATGTAAACTATCACGACTGAACATAACTGTGTGAAATCTATTTGAGAGTTTTTTGGCCGTGGTCTACAGGTATAGCTTTCACACAAAAAAATATCAACGAAAAAACTGGAAAGAATCACAATTGACGTTATTTGGTCCAAAAATTATGAGTTAGAGAATTTCGTTCTATAAATAGTGGTTGAATACTGAATTTAGATTTACAAAAGTCAAGCATCATTTAGCAAAAACTCTCTCAATGAATGTGACATTTACAAAGAATACAAAACAGTTGTTTTCCCATTTCTATCTTCATTTTCAGTAGTTTCAGTATTTTAATATTTCTGGCTTTCTACTTCACCATCTTTATACAATCAATTTCAAAAAAGTAATTCTATACAAAGAAGTGCAGATAATGCAAAGACGTAACTTTCAGACACAAACTGGAAGAGAAAGTCTTCTCGAAACATCAAATTACACAAAAGAAAAATACTTTGAAAACAAATATTTTTATATGAATACTGAATTATACAAAAACCACTTTTATCTATTCAATTTGTATTCCAAATATTTGTTATGGAATTGAATCAGACATCATTCACAGGATTGCCACACAATATAGTAAATGAAAGTGGTAAAATATCTCTTATTTGGTACACTGTCATCCTTACTGGTAGAGATCTGATGTTTGCCTCAAGACGCTTGCCTTATCAGCTCTTCAGTACTAATCGGGATGACATTATAAAAAACACACCATTCATTCATAAAATTACGACTTCATGTCATGAGTTTGATCTACTGATGTCATCGATGCCATTCATTCGCTTAAGTAAATCCCAGCCAAAGGAATCTCATATCTTGATANTTTCGTATAATCCAATGTTTATATGAAAGTAGCTGTTTTGAGAAGCCTTTTTCTTCCCATTTGTGTCTGAAAGTTACTTCTTTGCATGATCTGCACATCTTTGTATAGAATTATTTTTTTGAAATTGATTGCTTTCTTTCTTTTGAAGATTGCCACATGTTTATGTATCAAGATGGAGAAGTAGAAATTCAAAACCTTTGCCAAAAAATTGACCTCTCCTAAAAATATACCACTTTCAATTTATTATTTTTTTTTTTAAAGATATGAATGAGGAATGTTGGTTTTTAGGATCAAATCCCATGCTTTTTTATGGTGCTTCATTTCAGTCATATGGAATCATTTTTAGGTCATTTACGTTGGTCGGTGAGGAAGGTGCTCTGCATTCGGCAATAACTGAGTAAATATCATTTCAGGACCCACTATTCATTTTATACCATGTTTTAAAAGTATATTTATTATTCAACCCTCATCTCAAGACTTTAATTTCATCTAATATAACCAATCCAATTATATTTACTCACTTCATCCTGATGGCCAAGGACCTTCCTCACCAACCAGTCCGAATGACCTTGAAATTATCCAAAATAACTAAAATGAAACACCATGAGAAAAAGCATGTAATTTGGTCCTAAAACCAGCTATGCTCATTTACTATTGAATCTGTTATATACAGTGGAAGCCCTAAACTGGTACATCCTTTCAAATTATTTAGACAGCAGAGTGTTCACCACTGTGAAGGCCCCCAAAGAGTTTGTGTCTGCCTGCAATGAATGTAGATTGGAATACGTGGATATATCTCTAAATTTCGTTTAGGATGTCTCCAGAGTTGCTTTTTAAAACTATTATATTAATGAAAAAAACTTAGTTCTGACTCAATCCCAAGAAACTGAACAAGGTGATAACCCTCAGATGGAGGGAGAATCATTTCAATATATATGAGCACGTATAAAATATTATAAATTGGCCATCATCCACTGTTGATGAAATCAAAAACAGTTCCCGCTCAACAGGATTCATTTATTGGATAATAAATTGGTTGGGAGTCATCTTTTTACATAATCACGGTTTGTATTTGATTTTGAGCCTCCGTACAAAACAATGATAGGAAAAAAATGCTAATTGCTACTAGATATATTATCGTTTAAATACATTTTTTACACTCACAATTATTATCACCAACTACTGTCTATTTTTCAGCTATTATTTTTTAACAACTATGCTAAACTAGGAAATACACATCACAAAAAATGTCAAACAAATTATTCATAACCGCATACTACATAATTCTTCAGGATGAAATTTCAGGATTTGTAGATGGAGGTTTTGAA